ACTTTACAGCCCTCTCTAAGCAGTTTACAAAGTCAGCATATTGTCCCCAACAATCTGGGTCCTCATTATACCGACCTCTGAAGAATGGAAGGCTGAGTCAGCCTTGAGGCTGTGAGAATCGAGCTGCTGGCATTTGGCAGAATTAGCCTTCAATACTGCATTCACTGTGCTATCACAGCTCTTAAACAATTGTTGGGCTTGTTCAAAAGGCAACACATTTTTAAAGAGGAAATGCTTTACTGTCATGACCAAGTCACACTTTCTCTGGCCTAGACCTTTCAGAGACAATTAGTGAGAAGTTCCTACCACTTTTATTTTAGGCTGCAAAAAGTTCATTTCCAAAGTTTAAAAGGTCAGTAGTAGCTTTGTAGCCCATGTTTAGATTTCAGTACTTAAGGGGAATTGAAACCACTCAGTGAATTCAACTAGGGAATAATGTTGCGTGAAATGTAGACAACGTGACCTAGAAGCTTTCCAATAGTATCATATGGTACTGGTGATTTCCTTCCTTTCTTTTTAATCTCAGGATACAACAATTAATGTAATAGCAGACCGTAAACTGCACTGCAATTGCTTCAAAAGCTGCATCTTGTTTAATCTCGTTTGCATGTAGAAGTCAACAGTGTCTGCCACACTAGCAATCATATTAAATATTTGGTCTAGATACTTGAATTTCTCAAGTATCTCCAAGATCTGGTATCCCATTACTGACAACATTATGTACTTTAATGTCTGCTGAACGACACAGAGGAATAGAAATTACTACACTGAAGTGGGGGAAAATTGCACTGCAGCTTTTTTCAATGAATAAAAACTGTTAAACACATTAAAATACCATTTACCAAATAGCAGAACCTAATGAAAATTGGGACCATTCAGTGAATACAAATGTGAAATAATTCTGAGTTAAATGTTCTGTGTGTAACTGTTTCTCATTGCTCCAAATTATATTACATAGCACTAGGAAAAGACAATCTGTAGGTAAATAGGTTAGTAAAAAATACCAGTAAATTTTGTTGTGTGTAGATATTAAGTTCTTTAGATTAATTCTTGGCCTTAACAAATCATAGCATACGTTTAAATAACATTTTTTCTGCCTCATTTTAAAAGAAAATTTAGCAATGGGAATATAGAACAAAGACAACATCTTAAATATGAATAATGGATTTCTGGAATGTGTAGTACATGTTAAACTATCTCTGTTATTGGAAAAGTGCTTTGGGTAGCATGAAAAGTGAACAGAAGATATAAATGATTTTAAAAATGTATGTACTCCTTCTACACTGCATTTCTCAAAAAAAATCAGGTGAATCTTCATTGACTCTAGTTTTACAAAATTCCATATATAGTAAAGTATATAAAACTAGACATCTAAAAGACTTATTGTCAAAAATGTTGCTTTTTCCATATTTATATCTAAATACTCCCCAAGAAATAGGGAGCCAGAAATACTGTGCAACATAATAACTTCTCAGATGAATTTATTTTTCAGTGGCCTGTAGGACATATGGACAACTAACCTCCTATCCCCCATCTCCCAAGATTTGGGAGCCTGAAGTTTTGAAACCACTTTGTAGATGAGCAGTGGTGACACAGTGGTTAGTTTGCAGTACTGCAGGCTACTTCTGCTGACTGCCAACTGCCTGCAATTTGGCAGTTCGAATCTCACTAGACTCCAAGTTGATTCAGCATTCCATACTTCCAAGGTCGGTAAAATGAGAACCCAGATTGTTGAGGGCAATATGCTGACCTTGTAAACCGATTAGAGAATGCTGTAAAGCGGTATATAAATCTAAGTGCTATTGGTATTGCTATTGTAGATGCTATGCTATGTCCCACCATGTATGACACATCACATAGGGCTCCTGCATGCATCCGAATGTTTCACTAGATTACACTTTTTAAAATGTGTAAAATTGACCTCCTCCCAGCTTCCTTAGCATGTAGAATGATGCTTCACCCTAAGGAGAGTCTCTTACTAATGGGTCAGATTAAAACATTTTCCACTGGTAGCATGGGACTATGTAAAGAATCACAAAAATTAACTACTTAGCAATGCTCCCAGAGGCACTGGTTAAGATGTAAAGAGATTTTATGTTCAGGCTTGGATAGTAACATTAGAATTAAAAAATATATTACAGTAATAGTAAATCAACTGGATTTTTATGCAGTTATATCAATTTAGATAAATTAGTTTATTATTTTTCTATAAATCCTTTATAGATAAATATTTGATGTATTACCTAATTTTGATTTTGATAGGATAGTCAAGGGAGAACTTATCTATAAAAATAAGTCTAAGTTGATTATTTTTCAAAACATTAAGTTTCAGAACAAGGCAAAATCCAAGGAACAAATCATTTTTCTGAAATAGTATAGAGTTTCCTGTTTGAGCAGGGGTTTGACTAAGAGACCACCAAGGTTCCTTCCAACTCTGTTATTCTGAAATAGGAAACAAGTTTAAAACAAAAAGAATAAAGCAAATTTGTAGGGTCAGGAAATTTTTAAAAAAAAGAATAAAGAAAAAAATAACTTCCAATTTTCTTTTGTACAGATAGTATAAAATGATATATGTTTTTTCTCTAAGATTAACCATAACACACAGTACTGTTATAATAATTTTAAAAAAACTCTAGTCATAAAATTCCAAAGTTAAAATTTCTTTTCTTTCAATTTCAAGCAAAAATATTAAAAGTGTTTTCCAAGTAGAAAGAAAGCAAAATAAATTCCTTTAAAAAAAATCAAAGCAGTCACTTTCTTCATTTCTGCTCACTCTGTTAACTGAACCATCTAATCTTCCATTGTGGGATCTTATTAATTCTTCCATCTCTGTGATATAAAAGTGTTGCTGCTATTACCATGTATGAAAATAAAGTCCCGTATTTTTTTCAATCTGTATGTCCATCAAATCTAGAAGAAAAACCTCTGGTTATGACTGTACATCTATTTTAAGATTTCTCTGAATTAAAGTACAAATCTGGTTCCAATATTTCTTAGCTTTCTTAGATGTCCACCTAAATTAGTTCCATGTATATAGCCCTAGAAATTTTATTTAGTTCTTTCTTATTAAAACTCCTAAACACAAATCCTACCTGAGCCCAATTTACCTTCAAATAAACATATCTAGGATTGCTTCCTTAATGTTTAACATCTTCTGGTTAAAGATAACTGATTTGATTGTGATGAAGTATGCTCAGATTTTCATTAGATTTTGACTAATATTCATAATTCAATGAAGTACAAGCAGGACTATTGCAAGGCAGTGATCTGGGGAAGGCTACAATAAAATTTCTGCTGCACTGAAGGTTTCTAGGAGTACATTGGCCTTTATAATGGTCAAATAGAAGAAGTTTGGCACTGCCAGGACTCTTCCAAGAGCTGGTCACCTAGTCAAACAGCAATCAGTGGAGAAGGGTATTAGTAAGATAAGTGACTAAGAACTGATGGGCACTCTGACTAGCTCTAAAGATCCTGTGTGGAGATGGGAGAGAATTCCAGAAAGACAACCATCACTGCATCCCTGTACTGATCTAGACTTTATGGCAGAGTGGCTAGATGGAGGCCTCTCCTCAATGCAAAACACATGAAAGTCCGCTTAGAGCAGTGTTTCTCAACCTTGGCGACTTTAAGTCCTGTGGACTTCAACACAGGACTTAAAGTCGCCAAGGTTGAGAAACACTGGCTTAGAGTTTGTTCCTCACATCTGAGAGTCTCCCGGGTGCTTTTTTACATTTAAGTGGACAATATTTCTGTGGGTTCTGTGGTTGCATAAGTTTATTTACTGAGCAAATTTATTTAGCTGCTCAACTCACATACAATGACTTTGGGGGACATAACAACATTAAAATCCACAGTTAAAAATCCACATTTTTTTAAAATCCTCATCCCACTTCTAGCCTCCTAAATTCACCTAGTGATTGATTGATGGATTGATTGATTGTGCACCATGAAGTCATGGCTGACTCTTAGCAACCACATAGTTAGATTTCCTCTAGTCTACAGACTAGGCTCTTCATGTGTTCATGATACGGCAAATAGTGCTTATCAAATCTTTATTACTCTATTGGGACAAGAGTATGAAAAATCCCTTGTATAATAGAGAGAAAAGCTTTTTTTATTTGTCTCTCCTTATATTGATTAGTCTATAGAATCGTAGTAAAGAAAAAGCAGTTCACTTTAGAATAAGTATTTTTTCTATAACATCATTTCCCAAAGTAAAACATATTTCGAAGTAATGTCAAATCTATAAATCTAATTTAATATTTCATTACTTTTCAGCAGGGTAAGAAGATGTGTTTGACAGTTTCTCAGTCAGCCTAATTCTTGGTCTGCCTGCAGCATAAGTAAAACATGCAATTTACAAACTAAGAAGCCTTCCTATGGTTAATGATATTTGTGTAACAATGTTCTAATGTGGATTTGCTATGCTATACAGGTAGTCCTCAGCTTACGACCAAAATTGAGCTCCAAATTTATGTTGTTAAGCGAGAAATTTGTTGTGAGTTTTGCCCCATTTTACAACTTTTCTTGCCATATACATGAATCACTACCATTGCTAAATTAGTTACATGGTTGTTAAGTGAATCAGGTTTACCCATTGACTTTGCTTGTCAGAAAATTGCAAAAGGGGTCACGTGATCCCAGGACATTGCAATGGTCATAAATGTGAATCAGTTGTCAAGCATCCAAATGTAAATCACGCGACCATGGGAGGGGGGGGTTATAAGTATGAAAAATGGTCATGTCATTTTTTCCAATTCCGTTGTAACTTCAAACAGTCACTAAGTGAACTGTTGCAAGTCAAGGACTACTTGTAGTCTAAACATGACTACTACCAAGTCAAAAGAGACAGGCAATCTTTGGATAACCCGTTTTACTTTTAACATAAGTACATGATCTATCCTTCTCACTCACACCCAATCTAGCACAGCAAATAGTATGAATACAATGTTACCTTTCTAGATCATTAGCATTTCCTCTACTTTATCCTTATATACTAGGTTGAGTGGTGTCAGCCTGGAATCTGCTAATGACTTACTGCCTGGACAAAAAGATGCATCTGCTGTTGAAATTTGCCAGTGTCCTACAGGATATTTGGGTTCGTCCTGTGAGGTAAGTATCTTAATACAAAGCAGTTGAAGGATTTTTCTGTCAGTAAATATGGGGGTTGATTGAAAACCAAACTCTTTCAAGTAGACCACACATAGAATTATATGCATATCCGTCTGCTGGGGTCTGAATATCGGAATAAGCTACAGGTGATAGCAATAGAAACAAACAGAACCTCTCTGACTTTAGGTGATTGACAAGCAGGCACCATCCAGGCCACTAAAGCGTAGGGAGCACTGACTGACTATAGGCCCCAAAGTTTGGGGTGCACCAATGCCGCCACCCTTTCCTAATCATTCCAAAAATGCAAATCTTTTTGACACGGCCATCTGTTCATGATGTTTATAGATACCATATACTCTTAAGCTGGCATTGTTTTCCATAAATCATCATATTCCACCTTTTCTATCCTCCACATAACTGTAATGAAGAGGTTTGGAAAGTGTTCCTTTTGGTTTTAATTAATTTTGATTTACCATAGCACCCAAATCTAGTTGGGTGTGCTTAATTATAGGTTGTATATCACAAATTGTATTCAATCTTTGGAATATTTCATTTAACACTGTGTCTGTCTGTCTGTCTGTCTGTCTGTCTGTCTGTCTGTCTGTATTTAGTGTTATATATATACACATACACACACACACACACACATATAAATATGTATATATATCTGATACAATTTGATGTTTTCAGCTCAGTTTAAAAAAAACTGAAAGCTTTCTTTAGTCCCTTATCATTGTAAATAACTTTACAAATAATCATATTTATGTATTATATGTCAACTCAAATGTATCTGAGATATTTTCATTTACAGAGTAGCAATCTTACGCCTGGGAACACCTACGGGTGACTTCTGAACTGATGTGCATGGAATTGTGTGATATTTTATATAATGTTCATAACATGCAGCCATGAAACTGTCCTTCGGGCTTAATCACTTTATTTGTCATTATATTTAAAAACTCTGAATACTTAAAATCAAAATATGTGATATGATTTAGAATTTCAAAATGAAGCAACACATTCGTGCTTGAGACAATACATAGCGCTTTTCATACAGATAGTGTGATTGTCTCCTCCCCCTCCCATACACACACACACACACACACAAACACAGACACACACACACACACACTTTTCCCCTGGGATGATTGATTCATCAATTTAGTAAGTGCAGTCTTGTTGAAGGTTATAATATGTAAAATCTGAATATTTTCAACCAACTAATATCTAGTCTATATTTGGAGTAAGTGCATGTATGCTTAACTAACACATCAAGGTGTTGCTGATGGAGCTTTTAAATGCAAAAATTTGAAAACTAGGTCTCCGAGGAAGCATTTTAAAAGCACAAAGGTGTTCTGTTTCACAATACTATAAACAATGTGCCATTTATACAAGCACTCTAGGCATTTACTTGTCAGCTCTCTTCTTTTAAAGCACCATGATTTTATATATGTTATTTAGGTCATGGAGCCTTGATTCTGATAGCTGATATAATCACTTCTTTATCTTATTATAAATACTAATGTTAAAAAAAAAACAGCCACCAAAGGTATTTTATAAAAGGCTGATGATAGATTTTGAAGGGTTTTGAAGAGGTTCAAAAAACTTGTTTGATCATGTGGCCTCCTCCCCAGCCAGCCAGCCCACCCACCCCCCGCCCGATCTGCTCCCTGCCTGGCCGGCCAGCCGGCCCAAGAACTCACCACTCTCCTCCTCCTCCTCCTCCTCCTCCTCCTCCTCCTCCTCCTCCTCCTCCTC